TGATAGACACATGCAAGAGTCGCGATCGCCTCGTTAGGACGATATATATTAAAACTGCGGACGGTCTCTTAAAAAGGGACGTTAGAAAGGTTTGTCTACTTGAGGGTCAGAGCAGCCGCATACCTCCAAATTCGTAGGTTGATTTCAAGAGCCGGACGTGGAGAATTGGCGGGCGGTGTTGTATCAGGTTGGTCAATGTTTTGAATTCTCCACGCCCTCTTCGCAATTGCGAAATTTTAATAAGTTACAGCTTACTTCGAAGAGAGATGACAGCACAATTTACAGGTTGGTGAAAACTCTTGGCCTCTGTATTCAGGCGTGGAGTAAGCAAACATACGTCAGAAAGACCTGATGGCCGTTAGTTACTCGTTGTGTTGACAGCTAACTCTAAAGGCCTGTGTTATACAACTGTAACAAGTGTATGCCGAAGTTCGACACTATGCCGCGACTTTCCCTCCCAAGAATGCAAACGTCTTGACTAACTCGTTCACTTCGTTGCCAGTGAATCGGGTGGTAGACAAGAAAGGACTTAAATCTTCTTTTGGAAAATTGTTCCTCAGCCTGCACGACCAGTTGGTGTTGCGGTCGATTTCCCGCACTCATGGGGATTCGACTGTAAAATAACGAATGTTAAACGCCTGTCATCCCACAGTAAAATTCCACTTGTTTCAGTAAAGCTTCTTCCTTAAGTCGAGACTTATTCGATTTTCCCACCGAGATCGTGTTTCTGCATATCTACAGAACACGAAATTTCCTCATCTTCATGATCTTACTTCCATGGAGCGTAGAATCGGGTTCCTATTCTCGCATAAACCCCGTCTTCTTAGTCGAATGCTTACTAATTTTGTCCTATTACAAGTAACCTTAAGAATTCAGTGAATCATACCCCTGTTAAATTCAACTTACTGCTCTCAGTCTTATACTTTTCTCCCACTCAAACCATTAAACGCTATTTTCTGTCTCTGACTGAGCAGCAGACTTAAGTGTCGTCCCTAATTTGCCTGACGGCCCTCGTAGAACGCGCGAAAATCCATATATATCAGCCGAGCCGATTGCTTCCCAACTTCAGTCGGGACCTTCGAGTTCTACATTTAAGTCACCTGAGACACGGCGTCAGAACGATTTAATTCGAAAACTGAATCTGACTCTGACTCAAAAGATAGGCAACATAACTCGATTCGGTGGTATTCCGGCTCCTCTTATATTTGCTAATCCTTCGCAGCCGAGCTCGTCCATAAACTCTGTAGGCCATATTACTACTTCAAATGATTCTTTTTGCCGCATACAAACCACTAAATAACGTCCTACTATATATTCTGTAAATAGTCTATAACCGAATTATCCTAAATCATTCATCCCACAACCTACTTCTAGCTTTTTCCCGCTTAAGGCCAACGGTTCTCTCGTAATTCACCCTAAGTCCTTTGACTCCCATTTCAGACCTCGTTTTCCACCAAATAATTTTTATAACTGCCCGCCCTACCCACTTGTATTCATCTTCCATCTACGCTCTCTCCCCCAGGCTTGCAACCAACAAACCTATCTTTGTTGTAACTCGCTTAGTATCCCAATGTACGAAAACTATGTCTTTACATTTTTATTTCTCGCGTTCAGTATTTTCTTGCTGACTCCTATATGCCAATCCTCCTAGACACATTTTAACTTATCACTCAAATAACTATAATTTGCAGCTTGCCGGTACTTCTCCAGTCTATTTTTCGAAATGACGCCCAAAATGGATATGTTGCTCGAAACAAATTGAATGCGATTCTACTAGATAACAGGTCTGTTATAAAAAGGGATGGCCCAAATAATGCCATTGCTCTCGAAATGACGCTCGATACTTTATGCATAACGGAATCCAAACTCCATCCTCTAATTCCTGAGTCTTTCCTTTCTTTAGATAATTTAGGATTTTTTTGTCAAGGTAACACTAATAGGCGGATGCATTCTTCATTTTAGATTCCTCCGTAAAGCACTTTCCCTATACTGTAAATGTCCCTTATTCTCTGCAAACGTCGGCTTTGCATCTATTATTCTCGCACCGCAAAGAAGGGCAATTACCAGCTCTTTCTACAATCCCTTAGACCCTTCAGATAATGGTGATGCACAGTTTTGTGAAATCCATATATTGGTTTCGGAATCTGCATTCGATATTAAAGTACTCACTTGAGGTTTTGACCTTCCTGTAACAGGTTAGATTTCGAATACCTGTCCACCTAGACTTCGACCCTTCCAAAATATAAATAACTTTTCCAACTGTTCTCAATTTGTGTGCTGTCCAACAAGAAAAAATCAAACTTAAGATGTAATCTTTACCAATGACATTGCTCCTCTTTTGTTGCTTTCAAAAAGGACATTTTTGGTAGTGACCGCCTACTTAATTAACTATTACATAGAGTCGGAATTTTCAGAAAACACCAGTACAGTTTGAAATTAGCCAAATTGCGATTTCGGGAACAATGACTCAATAAATAAATATACTTCATCATTGGATTAGCACTGCTGTCGCCCCTGTAAGGGTGAAACAGTTCTTAGCGACGTCATGTCTTCTGTTCCCAAAACGATCTTAGAGTTTGTGCCTCGAAGATATTTCAAGTCTATCTCCTCGGATTTCCTTGTTTCTTACCTTCTTGGTGACAGACTAGAAACGTTGAGACGGCAGCCGCATGACGTTTCCGCTACTTCTTTATTCGTTCTTCTAAAATACACAGAAACTTTGGGAATGGCCTCGAAGTTGTCTCAAGCGCGCAACAGACAAAGAGAATCACTTGCTCTCAGTGATCCGAACTTTGCCAAATCCGTCGATAAAACCTTCCGTCATCGGTCCTCATTAAGCGCGGTTAAGAAATCCCAATCTTGTTAGACAGTGACAAAATCTTCCTCATGGATGACCTTGCCGACGCGGAAGTCTTCATAGCACTCAAGTTCCGCGAAGTAACAACACAAATATCCTACACACGTAATCACATCAACACTACTAAAGTACATTCAGTGTACTTATTGCATTCGTAGGCCCATACTTTCTATCTGCTTAATATAAGACATGCCCTTACAAAACTCACCACCATCGCCAACGTTCTGGAAACAGCCCATCCTGCTTGCTATTGATGCATCGTAGATTCTAAACTCAAACTCCTTGTGGTCAGTCATCATCAGTCCACGAGGGAAGAGAAGGATTGTCTGCAATAAGACACGACCGCACCAATTCTTAAGGCAATCAAAGGCAGCGCCATGCAACAGCCGTTACTATAACAAGTGCCAAAAATGCACGTATCATACTAGCTTGTCCACATTACAGTCGCACATTCTAAAGTTCCGTCGGTATGCTCAGGGACATGAAGGTCCATCCAAGTGTGACCAAAGACTCTACATATGAAGCCCCAAACTAGGCCTGCCAAGCTCAGATGTCCGCCGAAACTGTACATCACACCCCGACATTAGGTAAGCGAATGCGCCACTTTATCTACCTGCTAGTTGCAGCTAAGAAATCTAATAATAGAATTTCGGTCTAGTATGGATTATGGTTCACATTCTTAAAACCAGAACGCCGCAATTTTTAAAATTAAATCCGATTTCGTTGTCGCTTTTGCTTTTCTTCTCTTGAGGTATTCATCCATCGGATTAAGAGAACTGCTTGTCAAGATGATATCCTCCTACCTCAAATGTCGCATAAAATGACGCAAGATTTTTAGTACTCAATAAGACCCCAGAAAATAGGCACGCAGTTCACATCGCCTTAATCGAATTTCAGAAATCACTTGATTTTGTGCTACACCAAAAACTCTAGTGCAAACTGGAAAGTATTTAAGTCTTGGACTTCACCAGTTCGCCGTCAGTAAATGCCCAGTCTATTTGGCAAGATGCGCTAATATGTTAAGTTATTTTCCCACCGGTGCAAATTTGGCGGACGTAATAGACCGGAATGACCTTAATGTATTAACGACGAACCGCTAAGAACCGTCAGCTCACTGCCCCGAGTGTGGCAAGTGCGTAAATTCCGTGTTGCACGCTACCATGAAAGTCTTCATGGATTTTGGCAAAAATATCTTTTCCACGAATTTCTGAACGTGCATAGGCCACACTTGTAAAACGCCGTATAAGCCTGGAGAATATGGGCAATTCGAGATCAAAATAGTCTCGGGTGAGTACAAAATGTTGTCGCACAAGGGGTTAACGGTCAATGTCTCAGGCTTTTTGTAAGCGGTCAAGCACACACAAATCTTTTTTTCTAATTAGAAAATCTGCGTGGATGCGCACGTTGGATGTGCAGAAATTCTCTTAATCTGTCGAGATGGCAGAAATACCGGATGCGCCTTCTGCAGATGTTGTGGCAACACCATAAATGAAGAGCTTTCGACGGAGACTTGGCAAACTGCTGAGAAATTAAACACATCCCTTGTGGTTAATGTTCAAAATTTATAGGTCCCTTTGCACACTATGCCCGACTCTTCATCGTTAATGGCTGAATTAAAAGCCGCATTTATTTTACCTCGGTTAGCTGGTCTGAACCGACCTCAGGACTTTAGCCGGTTCAGCATATGAAAAGGAGTTTGGATTTCTCAATGGATTTCTGGTTTGTTGACCACTCGAGTGCCAGATGCCTACCCGTATTATCTCCTTTTTCGAGTCTTTCAAATTTGCACGACCGTTGTGCATAATTTAATCATTGACATTTTTGCATATCTTTCGATCTATTCTTTCTATGGCCTTCTCATCTTTTAATGGTGCGAGTGTCCGCCTGTTGCACTACTTACCCGCTTATCTCAATCCCTTTTCCTTTTACTATAAGTCCGTCGCTCTCGTATTGTTTTGCAGACGATATCCTGCTGTCCACATATCCTCAGTTTCTGCACCAGGGTACGGAATTATAATCACACATAGCCAGGTAACCTATCACATGATAAACAAAGTAAACAGCTCTAGGTCACTTTGTGGGTTATTAGGTGTGTATTTTTCACATTTGGTCAATCGGTTTTCAGCTTACGGGCAATCGGAAGATGCATTTGTTTAAGACTGAATCTTTGGATGGTTTGCTATCTACTTGCTTTAAATACGTTTAGACATTATAATTAACCTTCGAATGTCTGCGAAACAACTCAACAGACTATCGGCCAAAGCCGAGAAGGAATCCGCCCTCCAGAAAGCGAAACTTAAGAAAGTATTATACCTGCTGTCTGTGTGAAGTTTAGGCTCTCGAAATGAAAAACGTTGACGGAGCCCGAATCTACGCTGAAAACGCCATCAGGAAGCACAAAGAAAGCATAAATTATTTGGCAATGGAGTCCAAACTGGATGCAGTCCAGGCTCGCGTACAGACGGCGCAGGCCAGTAAACAAGTATGTTTCCCAACTGTACCACAATCTTAGATTCTTAAAAACCTTTCTGGCACTACGAGAAGCCTCTCTGCAGCAATGTCGTCTATGAACTTAGAAAAAGTTGAGAAAATTATGGGCGATTTTGAGAAGATGTTCACTGATCTGGACGTGCGTGCCGGAACGCTTGAGGATTCCATGAGCAGCGCGGTGGCACTCTCAGCCCCTGAGGATCAGATCTCCGCCCTGATTAAGCAGGTATGCATTGATACGTTCGTTATCTATCCCGTAATACCATCGGTCCACGCTTATTCGCTAGTCTGTGTTTTTTTTAAAAGAATTATCTGGCGTTGCATGCCCTAAAATATGATTTAGCTCAAGACGCCGGTCTAATGAAAAGGTTTCCATTGCTATCATTAGCACCTTTAAAGCTAACTGAGGAACGTGTGTCAACCGATTACCGTATTTAAAAAAATTGCAACCGGCTTATTGTTAGCTTTATTATCTCCATACTACTTCGTTTGACCCTCGAGCGTGTTAACTCATTTCCCGTATTTATGCAGCACGCCTTGGGTATCAGCCAACTCCGCTTGTTGCTTTTTCGCTAAAGACATGTTATGCTGTCTTTGGACTGCTAACCAAAATAGGTCCTACCAGCCCTTCTAACTATAGGTCCATTGTTAGTCGAGCCACAATCGACATCTCATATCATGTGAAAATCTGGTTTTCGAAGTTTTATCTGCCGTCCTCCATATGGGATATCTCATCCTCAGCCAAAATGCGTGGGATCTAGCAGCACTTTGCTAGACGTACTTGGCTTGTGTTGGTGCCCATGATGACCAATTCAGTCGGCTCCATTCCGCAGTTTTCTCGCATCATGTGTGATCGCCCCTAGCGTAGTAGGTTAAAGGCAAATTCCCAATGTAGCTGAGTTGATTAGCCTTTCAAACCCGCGGACCGATAACCACTGAGTTAGAGATACGCTCAAGATCGGCCTTCACCACGTATACCCACCTCATCAGTTTAGGTTGCCATCAGCCACGGTCGAAGTCGAACAGGATGGTATACTTCAGGTCGGTGCTGTACACAAGCAACCTACATTCGTAGACGAGCAAGGACTTAGTTTATCGGCTATCTTGACTAACTGTATAGTCTTCAGGCGTAGACATGATCACACCCGAAGCTGGAGAATAGAACAAACCACGAATCCAGTACTTCCAGCCGATATATGTTTTCTGAGATTACTGGCCACGTCTTATATCATTATAAGATTTTCTTCCATACTCGTATCTTAGCCTTCAGCTCCCCCCATTTTTATTCCAGGAGGTTAAATAAATTCGAATGAAAACCATGCGGGCCTGGTTATTCTGTTAATCGGTTTGCACTTTTGGCAGGAGGTTCGGCCGAAAGTATCAAATGTTGTCTGCGGCGACCGGCGGATATCGCCAGCGGCGAAATTCGATGTGATGACTTTATGAAAGGGGTGGATTAAGTCTTACTCCCGCTTTGACGTTTACTTGAGTCACAGAACATTGCATTTCTGTGAGGGAAAACGCCAGCCACTCAACGTTGACGTTGAGATCTTCAATTCAACAGCGGCCATCTGTAACAACAACACTCATCTTCCAGCCAATGCTGAAAAACTCAGGTTTTTTACATGACAGTAGGTTTTACGGGGTAACGCAGTCCTTGCGGATACCGAGGCTAATATCGAAGAACTGTACACTGTTCGTATTGGCGTTGATTTTTTTGGACATCCCATCGTGTAGCATAATTTGCCACATAGAATTCCGGCGATCACTGCCAAAACCTGTAGTCATAGTCATGATTGGATGCAAGAACATCTTTAAACTGAATGATGGTAGAGGGACAGAGACCATTGGCTTCAGAATCTAGGCCAGATATCCCTTCCTTCGGTAAAGTCTATGTCAATTGGTTTATGCGAGTTCCAAACCTCGGATATATCGTTGGGACCTCGTCGTACAAAACTTCTGATCTCACAACGCCAATTCCTGAAAGTTAACCCGTTTCACAAGCCGCAGGCCCCTACTATCATCCATCTGGATCGTTTCCTCATAGATGTAGCCTTTGCACCAGCGTCTCCTGCTACCTAACACTTATTCAACCTTATTCTGGAGGGTATGTTTCAGTTCCAGCCTGTTACGTCGCAGAGACACATTTGTGCGCGTCAGTGCGTTAGCACATTTGAGACACTCAGGCAGGATTCGGTTGTAGTGGAAAGCCTATTGGAACACTAAACATTGCAGTCCTCTGCGCACCCTGCCCTTTTGACCGCACGTTCTTTAAGTCTTAGACAAGTCCTTATAGAATCATATTCAGGGCCACCCTTACTGCCGGTGTCGACATTAAGCAGCGGCCGGGAATGTAGCAATGAACTTACCCAGCGTGTTTGGACAAGTGTTTGATCAGTTTGATTTTGAGTAGTCATCATTGGGGTACTAGATGACTAAATGTTCCTTAAGGTGTCAGAAGTGGGTGTTCATAGTGAAAATGCGATTCGATGTCACGAAATTGTCGACTCACCACTCACGCAACATTCTCCCAGTGCGCAGAAGTCAAGTGCCCGTCATACAGATGCGTCACACTTTCCCATCCTGTGTTATGATCGTTCACAGCAAAAAGGTCACATGTTAGGCCCCTCCTAGTAAATTATATGCTTTTTACGGCACAAATTTTTCTGCTTATCATAATCACTCAGCGTTACAACACAGACGGAAGCAACTGCACTTTCGACTAAGTACCACGAAGAGTCGAAAGTTCAGTCCTCTGTTATCTCGGTTCCAAGTGCATAAGTGAGGTTTCGGTGTGATTACGTCAGCTAGAATTGTCATTAAGATTTTGTGGCGTTTGACGCGTTGATGATACGCAAACCCTGGTCTTCCAGGTGGACCTCGGAAAAATACAATGTTTACATCGTACTACACCAGCACATGCATGGCTGAGCCCCGCGTTGTCGTTGCAAGAAGAGTTCTAGCTTTCCATCATGCGATGGGCAGGTGTTTATTCTTGAGAGAGACCAACCTGCGAACAGGTTATCTATCCAGCAGGCAGATATCTAGATGTGTCGGCTGTAGCATACACTATACCATTGGTTACAAGTCATGATTAGGGAACTTTATGAGGTTGGGCTTTGGGGTTTTGTTGCAAATTGTGTAAGCATGTCTTCAGCCCTGCTCTAGACGGATGTGCAGTCCGCAAGGCAGTGGCAAGAGGGACTTATTTGGTGACGCCTGATACTCGTCATGCTACAGTAGCGTCATCTGAATGCACAGTTGATATTCCACATCCTGCCAGTTTTGTCGTTGCTGGTCCTCGGTGGCTTACTTGTCAGTAATACATCTGCTTATTCCACAGCTGATCCTCACCCAATGTCGTTCCATTACCTGCAACATGTGGACGCGCCACGTAGCCCGCAACTAAGCTAACTAGCGGGCCCCCATCTTCCCGGAGTTCCTGTCGCTCCGAGAACTCCCCTCGAGTACGCGTAGTTATTACCTTTCATCGGCAAAAGTTCACTTTCCTAGGTGGGTTATATTAACTGAGCAGCGGCGTGCGTGCGACTTTAGATCGTCTCCTTCGCCCACATTTTCATATATGCCCGCACTTCAGGTACCAACGACTGATACTAATACCTATTTTAGTAATCACTACTGTCTTAACCCCCATCAAGCGTAGTATTTAAAAAGTTAGACTTGTAAGCACTCTGACCTAAGCTATTGCTCGATATCTTACGATGGCTTTTTGGATTAGAGAAATCAGCACAAATGGAACTCATAAATGCACACTACAAATGATGAAGCCGACTTGTTTGCCACGCAGACAGAAAGGCTACTTAAATCTCGCCCTACCAACCATCCGAGCCTACTATATTAGCGTTGTTCAATTCCATACAGTGAACACCACATGACTCTCGATCTGGACCCAGTTGCTCAAGTGGTAACATTGTTGACCATACTAAAGCCTTTCTTTTTCTGTCGCTGTTTCGAGACCTGCTGAAGCCGCTGTGGTTTTGGTAGTTAGGTAATTTATTTAGATCCTGTGGTTGCCGTCTATGTTGGTGGTAGTGTTGTAATGCATTCAAGGGCCTCCAACGAACGCAACTTGTGCCCGGAATGCACGTCACCAATAAGGACTCGTTGGGAGGGTCTGGCTTTTCTTTGGTTTTTGCGTTCTTGATGCCCCTCATTAGCATCCTAGTGTGTTTTGGCTTCAGATATTCCTGCACCATTCTTCAGTGTAGTTCACCATGCCAGGTGGTGTTGAGCGATACCATCCCAGTATGCGTACTCGATTCCGACACATTGAGCGATATTTTCAAGATGCTATTGGACGTTTTATTTCATTTTTCCTGACGACGTGCACTAGTAGCGATGTCAACAGAAGAGCCGCATTGACAGGCACTTATCCGATATTCAAACCTATTTATCGTTCCATCAGTGCTGCAGTTGCTTCAGCATCGCAAGACATTGAACATGCTAGTCGATTCCATGATTCAAGTGCCTTGGGACCCGTTCATGTCATACCACCTTGTCTCTCCTACCAAGGCAAGTTAAGGGAAAGTGGGTGAACTTCTTGGTTTTGATGATTTGTTTGCGTCTCCGCGTTCTGAAGGAACACTGCCAGGACTGCAGCTATGTTGGTCCGCAGATTGTTATTGAGAAGAATGCGCTGGTGTTGTCATACAGAAAACTAATGGAAACTGAAGGGCTGGCTGGTTTTGGGTATCCGAGTCTCAATTTATTTGCCAATTACGAAATTTCTTGAAATGATAGTACCAAGATGGGCCAATTTGTGCATTGCAATGGGCGATTTCCATTAAAGTTGATTGGGGGCGATCTATATTTCCAACATGGTAGCCGTCGATAAATACTCGAAGTTGAGGAGATCCGGACTTTGCCATACAAGTGCACAACCGTCGTAAATAGGTTGTTTACTTTGATCCTGGCAATCTTTGTGACGGCGTGCATCCAACTAGTGTTGATTAGTTTCCCTTTGAATCGATATTTAATGTCAGCTCCTGGTTTTTCATCACG